ACAACAATCGCGACGACAAGTAGTGATGAAATCATTCGATTGTCACGTCAGTCATGCCATCCAATGACGTCACGACAGGGCTTCCCATTGGTTCACGTCATGCCCACTGACACGACCCGTCCAACCACAGGGCCGCACAGTTGGGCCCTCTGTAGGCAACGCACGCATTGCGTACAGCAGTGTGCAAAGGGGCCAAAGCTTGGCCACAACATGACAACATTGGCAGTGAGGAAAACACGTGATTGTGTTGACGATGTCTGGCTCGGAGTGGCAGCGCCTGGAGGGACAGCACGTGCACCGCGTGTACGACGCCATCGCCGACCACTTCTCGCGCACGAGACACACGCCGTGGCCGCGAGTCACGTCATTCCTGTCTTCCCTCCCGAAGGCGTCGCTCGTTCTGGACGTCGGCTGCGGTAACGGAAAGTACTTGTCGTCCATTGGCTGCGGCGGCGAAGGCGTGGCAATCGTCGGGTGCGACCGAAGCGCGCAATTGTTGCGCATTTGCGCCGAACGCGGCTTCGAGAGCGTGCGCGCGGACGCAGTGGACGTCGCGCACGTGTTTCGCGCGGGAGTTCTCGACGCGTGTCTTTGCGTCGCAGNCGTTTGGTCGCTCGCAGTGGCAGACATTGCGCGACACTCTCCAGAAGTGGTCGCACAACTTGGCGCACGTCCAGCACTCCGTCTCGTCGGCCATTCACTCGCAGATGACGTCAGACGCAGTCATTCCCGTCTAACCAATCAATAAACTCTTTGCTAATTAAAGTTTTTATTCAATAACTTATTTTATTAATCAGTGAAAACGTATCAAAAATCAGCTGATCTTCACTGAGATCTTCATCAGGGCTTAAGATATCGTAAAAAGTGTTGAAATAAAGTGTTATATAATGACTGAATTTAAATGAGAAGTTAATCACAAACTCTTTATTCATGCGTTTTGCGCACAATCGCCGCCCAATTGCCCGATTCGAAGAACGCCTCCTCTATGGTGACGCCCTCCACCTCCGCCAACAGCGCCTCCAGTTCTCCCGCGCGGAACACATGATAGAAGCGCAGATGACGCTCTCCGGCGCTCTTGAAGGGCACCAATACGTCCTGCGCGACGAACGGCGTTCCGTTCGCGTGAACCGCGAGTCCGTCGACTGTCAGCTCTTCCTCTTCTTCCCGCTTCTCTCGCCGCCAGTAATGACTGCGCGTTCCGTCTTCGGCCGTCTGTTCCAACGCCCAGACGTACACCAGAGCGCGACCGCCGACTCGCAACGCACGCGCGATGGCCCGCAGAGCGCGCAGACGGCGCTCTTTGGTCGCCAAGTGGTGCAGAACTGCGACGCAAAGACACGCGTCGAGAACTCCCGCGCGAAACACGTGCGCGACGTCCACTGCGTCCGCGCGCACGCTCTCGAAGCCGCGTTCGGCGCAAATGCGCAACAATTGCGCGCTTCGGTCGCACCCGACGATTGCCACGCCTTCGCCGCCGCAGCCAATGGACGACAAGTACTTTCCGTTACCGCAGCCGACGTCCAGAACGAGCGACGCCTTCGGGAGGGAAGACAGGAATGACGTGACTCGCGGCCACGGCGTGTGTCTCGTGCGCGAGAAGTGGTCGGCGATGGCGTCGTACACGCGGTGCACGTGCTGTCCCTCCAGGCGCTGCCACTCCGAGCCAGACATCGTCAACACAATCACGTGTTTTCCTCACTGCCAATGTTGTCTCGTTGTGGCCAAGCTTTGGCCCCTTTGCACACTGCTGTACGCAATGCGTGCGTTGCCTACAGAGGGCCCAACTGTGCGGCCCTGTGGTTGGACGGGTCGTGTCAGTGGGCATGACGTGAACCAATGGGAAGCCCTGTCGTGACGTCATTGGATGGCATGACTGACGTGACAATCGAATGATTTCATCACTACTTGTCGTCGCGATTGTTGTCACTCTCTGTCCTCAAGCGATGGCCAATCAAACGGTGAGTTTCCTTCAAATAGGCGTCGCTTTCGCCGAAAGCAAAGCACAGACTCTTCAGTATTGACACAACTCTGAGAACAAACACAACGAGCGCTCGAATGACAAGTCTTTTCCGATTAATTGCAGACAAAATGCTGTCCAACGCTCACGAAGACCACAAAGTAGACGACGACAGGTCTGTCTCTCACTCTCTGTCCTCTCTGTCCTCCCGTTCCTCCCGTCCCGCTCTCTGTCCGCACCGGAAGGCCTCTCTATCGCTCTCTCAGTGCTATCTCTGCTATAAATAAAAGTCTATTTCCTGAGAGAAAACCCAAAAAGCGGTCGAAATGTTAGGAAATGTTTGGAAACTCTGTTTTTGAGGAAAAGTCGCCAAAAGTGCGAAAAACGCTTTTTCGACGCCTTTTTCCTCAAAAATCGTTCGCCGTTTGAGACGCTCTTTGAGACCGACTTTTGCCTCAATTTTAGACATTTTATGCGAAATTCATTAGAGATTTGTTGCCATCGCCTGAGGGCGACATAAATAACAAGTTTTGACACAAAAAAAGTCGTTTTGCGTCTAAACTCCTCTCTTCTCGTGTTTCGGTCGCAAATCCCTTCCCTTCCCGTCGTTTGCGACCAGAAATGGATTTCAAGTAATTGTCGGACTCTTGCGGCACATCTCTGGCCGTCAAGTGTCCCGAAATCGGCCCCAAAAGGAAATGCGTTTTATTTGCTTTGATTTCCGCCTTTAGTTCCGCGAAACCCGTCTTCACGATCAACGCCGCGCCGGACGACTCACTTCCCGACGACTTCTACGCCGACGCCGACGACGAATCTCAACACAACTCGCTGTCCATCGAAACCATGGACTCGAAGCGCTTCCACCGGCAGTCGCGACAACTGCGACAATCCATGTCTGGGATCCATCTCTCGCTCCAAGACCGCGACCGCCAGGACCTGACGATCGCGACGCCCGAAGAGTTCATCAAACGCTTCGGCGGCAACAAAGTGATCAATAAGATCCTGATCGCCAACAACGGCATCGCAGCCGTCAAATGCATGCGAAGTATTCGGCGCTGGAGTTACGAAATCTTCCGCAACGAACGCGCCATTCGTTTCGTCGTTATGGTAAGCATTGAGATACCGGCGCTCTCTGTCTCTCTGACGCCCTCTGCCCCAAAAGGTGACGCCCGAGGACCTGAAGGCGAACGCAGAGTACATCCGAATGGCCGACCATTACGTTCCGGTGACGGGCGGCACGAATAACAACAACTACGCGAACGTCGAGCTCATCGTCGATATCGCCAAACGAATGGCCGTTCAGGCCGTGTGGGCGGGTTGGGGCCACGCCTCCGAGTACCCCAAACTGCCCGAACTGCTCGGCAAGGCGGGCATCGTGTTCATGGGACCGCCCCAACAGGCCATGTGGGCGTTGGGCGACAAGATCGCGTCCTCTATTGTGGCGCAGACGGCCAAAGTGCCGACCCTTCCCTGGTCGGGGTCGGGACTCGTGTGTAGCGATTGGGAGGACGGGAAGACATTCAAGATTCCGCCCGATCTCTACCGCAAGGGTTGTGTCCACGACGTGAACGAAGGCCTGACGGCCGCCCACGAGATCGGCTTTCCCGTGATGATCAAGGCGTCGGAGGGCGGCGGCGGGAAAGGCATTCGGAAGAGCGAGTCGACGGACGACTTCCCGCAGATGTTCCGTCAGGTGCAGAGCGAGGTTCCCGGCTCTCCCATCTTCGTCATGAAACTGGCCAAATGCGCGCGACATCTCGAGGTGAGCTCTGATTGGAGGCCGTGTTTGGGCGCGAAATTCAAACCTATTTTTTTAGGTGCAACTGTTGGCCGATCAGTACGGGAACGCCATTTCGCTGTTCGGACGCGACTGTTCCATACAGAGGCGCCACCAGAAGATCATCGAAGAGGCGCCGTGTATTGTGGCCGAGGAGGAGACGTTCGCGCAGATGGAGAGGGCGGCCGTGCGTTTGGC